CGTCGGTTCAACCATTCGCGCGATAGCTTCCGTCTGTCTGTGGAGAGTTCAAGCATGTTGGCGCACGCTGAGCTAGCCAGTACTTGCTTACGTCCCGCATGAATCCAATAGATGTCGTGCACATGCACGCGCCCCGATTCCAGTTCGGTTTGCTCAGGCTACAACACGGTCGTGGGTTGAATGTGTGTTGTTGAGGAGCATATGCTTCTACTTCAGCTCAAGCAGGATACATGTGTTCATCATGGAGTTGCGATGCACTCTAACCACGTAGCAATCCGCCTTAGTAATCACAGTCGAGAATGCCAAGTTTTATGATCTACCGATAGTTTCACATCGCTGTTCGTTTCGCACGATTTTCCTTGTTGTTGTGTGAACAGATACTTACGTCAACCTCACGAAGAACTGACAATCAGCTATCTCGATTCCATTCAGAAATCACGTCAGGCTCAATGACCATATTCACCCAAGCACCCACACCAACACAAGCACAAGCACCTGCAAAAGCACAAGCACGAGCACGAGCAGGAGCACAGGCACAAGCACAAGCACAAGCACAAGCACAAGCACAAGCACAAGCACAAGCACAAGCACAAGAACAAGCACAAGCACAAGCACAAGCACAAGCACAAGCACAAGCACAAGCACAAGCACAAGCACAAGCACAAGCACAAGCACAAGCACAAGCACAAGCACAAGCACAAGCACAAGCACAAGCACAAGCACAAGCACAAGCACAAGCACACACAAACAAACAAGCAAACAAACACAAGAAAAATAAAACAAGCTGCGAAATTGCGAGGTAGCCAAAAGTCTACACAAACAACCCTAAAGTGATCGTGCAACTCCAGCCAACCTCAACTCCTTGAACTGCAAAGTTCCTAAGTACCTCGGCCTTTCTGCTGCAGGTGGGCAAAGTTGCTTGAGCCACATGTTGTGGCAAAGTCTCTGTCTGAACTCTGTGGAGGAAAAAGTGCTCATATCTTCACACAAGCAAGCAAACAAAAAAACAAGCAAACACGCAAACAATAGCAAACAAGAACAAGCAAACACAAAAACAAAGAACAAACAAACAAGCACAAGCAAACAAACAAATAATCAAACAAACTAGCAAACAAATAACCACCCCACACAGCCACACTGATGCATTGATGACTGTGTGGAGCACAACCTTTCGTGTCATGATGATGGGATGAGATCTTTGTACCGCGTATGCCAGACCACAGGAATGGCATACAAACACAAGATGAGATGATCCGTAAGGGGTATGGTTTCGGCCCCTTGCTACGCCAGACACCCAGGAATAACGTAGCACGAAATGAGATGAAGATGCAAGAGAAATGATGCCTCACCAGCTGGCCACGCCGGACCCCGGGTGCGGGCAAGCGGGTACGTTTTCCTGGGGCGCAAGGGAGAGCTTCATTGGACGGAGCTCCCCTGCACCCCCTCCGTCCCCCTGCTATGGCAGTGACGCCTTTCCGGGATGAACAACCTGTTTCCACACACACACACACACCCACACGCACACGCCCACGCCCACGCCCACGCCCACGCGCACGCGCACGCGCACGCGCACCCGCACGCGCACCCGCACACACACACACACACACATACACGTACACATACACATACACATACACATACACATACACACACCCACAAACACAAACAAACACACACACACACACATGCACACACACACACACACCCACACACCCACACACACAAACACAAACAAACACACACACACACACACACACACACCACACACACACCACTCCGCGCGCACCACACAACACACACACAGGCACGCGCACGCGAGCACACTACACACGCACACGCACACGCCACACCACACGCACACGCACACAAGCACACACACACAGCACACACGCAACAAGCACACACAACACGCAACACGCAACACACACACACACACACACACACACACACACACACACACACACACACACACACACACACACACACACACACACACACACACGCACACGCACACACGCACACACGCACACACGCACACACGCACACACGCACACACACGCACCAGCACACGCACAGCACACGCGCAGCACACGCACACACGCGCACACACGCACCGCACACGCACCGCACACGCACAGCACGCGCACACGCGCACGCGCAACGCGCACGCGGCAACGCAGAAGCCACGCACACGCACACGCACACGCACGCACACGCGCACGCGCACACACGCACACACACGCACGCGCACGTGCTCGCACACGCATGCGCACGCACACGCACACACGCACACACACGCACGCGCACGTGCGCACACGCATGCGCACGCACACGCACACAGACACGCACACGCGCACGCGCACGCGCGCACACGCACACGCACACGCACACTCACACGCACACCCACACACACACACACACACACACACACACACACACACACGTACGTGGACCATGTGGTCAATAGGTGGCTTTTTTCTCTGCTTACAGTATACTACTATACGTACATCGGTGCCACAGGTGGCCCAGCAGCTAATCCGAAAAACTAGAATGCAGGTACGTCACCAGGCGTCCCTGGTGAGATCCTGAGGTAATATGAGGAGCTTCGTTGGATGGAGCCTCATATAGCTCTTCCATCCCCCTGCTTGCGCATCTTTGTTTGCCCGGGCTTCCAATTTCGCATGGCTCTGCAGATCTGTGTGAGCACTCACTTCCCAACAGCAAGGGCACAATCTCAAGGTGGCCCTGGCGCGACACGGTCATGAGCGCCGTGTACCACGGCGGTTCTGCAAGTCCTTGTCCCTACTCCCTTGGAAACATGGTTTGCGCACATCCCCTGCTTGCGCATTTTTGTTTGCCCCGGGCTTGCAAGAACGCGCATGCGATCTCCACGTGTTCCTCAAGGGACACGCAGACAGTGCAGTTCGCATGGCTCTGCAGATCTGTGTGAGCACTCACTTCCCAACAGCAAGGGCACATTTTCAAGGTGGCCCTGGTGCGACACGGTCATGAGCGCCGTGCACCACGGCGGTTCTGCAAGTCCTTGTCCCTACCCCCTTGGAAACAAGGTTTGCGCACATCCCCTGCTTGCGCATCTTTGTTTGCCCCGGCTTGCAAGAACGCGCATGCGATCTCCACCTGTCCCTTGAGGGACACGCAGACAGTGCAGTTCGCATGGCTCTGCAGATCTGTGTGAGCACCCACTTCCCAACAGCAAGGGCACAATCTCAAGGTGGCCCTGGCGCGACACGGTCATGAGCGCCGTGTACCACGGCGGTTCTGCAAGTCCTTGTCCCTACTCCCTTGGAAACAAGGTTTGCGCACATCCCCTGCTTGCGCATCTTTGTTTGCCCCGGCTTGCAAGAACGCGCATGCGATCTCCACATGTCCTTTGAGGGACACGCAGACAGTGCAGTTCGCATGGCTCTGCAGATCTGTGTGAGCACTCCCCAACAGCAAGGGCACAATCTCAAAGTGGCCCTGGCGCGACACGGTCATGAGCGCCGTGTACCACGGCGGTTCTGCAAGTCCTTGTCCCTACTCCCTTGGAAACAAGGTTTGCGCACATCCCCTGCTTGCGCATCTTTGTTTGCCCCGGCTTGCAAGAACGCGCATGCGATCTCCACATGTCCTTTGAGGGACACGCAGACAGTGCAGTTCGCATGGCTCTGCAGATCTGTGTGAGCACTCACTTCCCAACAGCAAGGGCACAATCTCAAGGTGGCCCTGGCGCGACACGGTCATGAGCGCCGTGTACCACGGCGGTTATGCAAGTCCTTGTCCCTACTCCCCTGGAAACAAGGTTTGCGCACATCCCCTGCTTGCGCATCTTTGTTTGCCCCGGCTTGCAAGAACGCGCATGCGATCTCCACATGTCCCTTGAGGGACACGCAGACAGTGCAGTTCGCATGGCTCTGCAGATCTGTGTGAGCACTCACTTCCCAACAGCAAATGCACAATCTCAAGGTGGCCCTGGCGCGACACGGTCATGAGCGCCGTGTATCACGGCGGTTCTGCAAGTCCTTGTCCCTACTCCCTTGGAAACAAGGTTTGCGCACATCCCCTGCTTGCGCATCTTTGTTTGCCCCGGCCTGCAAGAACGCGCATGCGATCTCCACGTGTCCCTTGAGCAGACAGTGGAGTTTGCATGGCTCTGCAGATCTGTGTGAGCACTCACTTCCCAACAGCAAGGGCACAATCTCAAGGTGGCCCTGGCGCGACACGGTGAGCACCGTGTCACCACGGCGGTTCTGCAAATCTTTGTCCCTACTCCCTTGGAAACTGGGTTCGCACAACTCTTTCAGAGATCCGATTACCCCAGGCTTCTGGGTCGATTTGCATTTCAAGTCACTCCAGGGCCCCTGCAACAAACTATCGATTCCACTAAACTTCTACAGAAGACCTACCCTTTGCTACAGGGATGTACACACACACACAGACACGCACACACATAATTACACACATTCACGCACTCACACATTCATATACGCACCCGTGCCCGCGCACGCTGGCTGGCGCGTGCCCGCGAGGGTGCACCCACCCGTCGCTTGAACCACATCGTTTGTCGCCCTGTTGTGCCAGCAAGCCTCATTCGTCAAATGACCACAAACGCCATCGGATGTTGCGAAAGTACGAGTGCAAAGCAGCTGACACGCGCGTGTACGCGCTTTCGCGTCCGTATCGTACTCCGAAGCATAATTTGGTTGCGGGGTTTGCGGAGCAGTGCCCTGTTCCTTTGTGGTTCCTGTGCTAACTGAGGGAGCTGGACACAAACAAAAAGCCACGTGGGCTCTTCGTGGTCGAGGCTGTTTTATGCTGTTTTCCACATATGTTTAGATCACCCAAAAAGCATGGTGTTGCCGTACCCAGTACAACTCGGTAAAGCGTTTCTGATGTGAGTGGGCTACAGCCTCACACCTCCCACCGCACGCGCAACAGCCAAGCTCAAGAGCGAACCCAGGCAACCCAAGCCTTCCCTTTTTTAGCTCCAAGCCAGCAAGATGGCTGTTGCCGAGATGTCCACCCCCGAGAAGGCCGCCGACGGCGAACTCCCGACGACGAACAAGCACGAGTGCTCGTGGAAGAAGTACGAGACATACTACTGCGAGGTGGACCCGCAGCAGGGTGACCGCGCAACCGAGATCAAGCTGCTCTCCCTCAAGCGGCCGCACATGCGCGGCTTCCACTTCGCGTGGTTCGGCTTCTTCATGGCCTTCGCGTCGTGGTTCGCGTTCGCGCCGCTGATGCCGCAGATCAAGAAGGACCTGGGCCTGACCACGGACGATGTGTACAACGCGAACATCGCGTCTGTGGCGTCGACCGTGCTCATGCGCTTCGCTGTGGGCCCTTTGTGCGACAGGTTCGGCACGCGCACCATGTTCTCCATGCTACTGTCGTTCGGAGCTATCCCGGTCTTCTTCGGTGGTCTCGTGAACAACGCTACTGGCCTGGTCACCATCCGCTTCTTCATCGGTGTCCTGGGCGCCTGCTTTGTGCCATGCCAGGCGTGGTGCTCGCAGCTGTTCGCGAAGGAGATTGTGGGCACGGCCAACGCCATGGCTGGTGGCTGGGGCAACCTTGGAGGCGGTGCTGTTCAGCTGCTCATGGTCGGCGTGTGGAACATGTTCCGCACTGGCTTTGACGACGAGCAGGCCTGGCGCCTTTCTTTCATCGTCCCCGCAGTTTTGACATGCGGTACCGGCATTGGCATGTACTTCTTTTCGGACGACTCGCCGAAGGGCAACTTCAAGGAACTAACGCAGAGGGGCACAATGGAGCGCCGGTCTTCCAAGAAGTCGTTCCAGCAGGGTTTCTTCCAGTACAACGCCTGGATTCTGTTCATCCAGTACGCGGCCTGCTTCGGCGTTGAGGTCACCATGAACAACATCCTCGCTGTGTACCTGGAGACCAAGTACGAGCTGTCGGTCTCCGAGGCGGGTCTCATCGCCTCCCTGTTCGGCCTCATGAACCTCTTCGCTCGCGCTATGGGCGGCGCTCTATCTGACAAGCTGTTCCGGTTGTTCGGGGCGGGCACCACCGGCATGCGCGGGCGCATCTATGCGCAATCTCTTTCTTTGGTCTGGGAGGGCATCATGCTCCTGATCTTCACCCAGATGGACTCTCTGGGCGCGACTATCGGCGTCCTGCTGCTCTTCTCGCTCGGTGTTCAGATGGCGGAGGGCTGCACTTTCGGAATCGTACCCTACGTGAAGCCCGCCGCAACTGGCTCCGTGTCCGGAGTGGTGGGCGCTGGGGGCAACGTCGGCGCTGTGTGCTGGGGCCTCATGTTCCGTTTTGGCCCATCGGAGGCCGACGATGTCCTGTTCATCCTTGGGTTTATCGTGATCGCATCGGCCGCCATGGGTCTCTTCGTGCTCATCCAGGGCCACGACGGGTGCATCACCAAAGCCAAGGGCGAGCCGGAGTCCCTTGACGTGATCTGATCTCACTTCCAGAGAGTCCCGCTGATGTTGTGTTCATATGTTTTCCGTGCTCTCGCACTGCACCTAATGTAGACTAACTTGCCGATGAGCATGCAGGACTTACTTACTTACTGCTAGGATGCCCAGTAGTGCCCTTATTCCCTTTTTGGTAGGTTAGGTTCTCTTATAACCCCCTGTTAGGCAAAACGCGCCCTTTTTCATCCTAGGTTACTGGGCAACCTAGTGTAACGATGCTAGGAGTACTTGTGTTGGGCTGTTGTACACACAATGGACCTCGCCGTCGCTCGGACCAGCGCGTATGTCGCGCTTTCCAGCTTTAGGCCGCGACGTGCGAGCAGCCAGCTTTAGCGTACACTTCGCACCTACGTGTGAGGGCGGCTCAAAAGTGACCCTTGGAACCACGGCTACAGGGCTTTACCAAAATACAAGAGACAACGCAAATTCAGCAATGCCCTCTTGGCTCAATACTTATACATGTTGCCTTCTTTTGCGTTTGGGTATCTTTGACTCCAAAAAACTCCAAAAGTGACAGTGTAGGCCAGAAGCAACCGGCATCTCATACTCAGTTTGTATGAAAGCACAAGTAGGATGGGAGACGGTTTCATAGCAGAAGTGTTGGGAGCTGGATACGGTTTGGGTTTTGCTTGAGCGTACCGTATCGGAGCTAAAGTCTTTGCTTGCAAGGTGTTCTGCCAGATGTGTGCAGTCTTGCAACACGCCTACTTGAAGGTTCATGGGTACGTATAAGTAGGGTTCTAAGCTCGTACCCCTATGAACTTGGATCGGTGCAGCCCACCTAAGGCTCAGTACGACGTTCATAAAACTTTCATAAAAGTTGAACGCCCAAGAAGAGTTCTTCTATGTTATGCGACCATCCCGCACTCACCCCCACGATGGCTCAGAGATGCTCAGAGTGTGCGATGGGTTGTGGGTAAACATGGCGTTGTATGCCCAGCTGCCAAGCAGACATCCATCGCACGAGCACGCGGCCAGAATGCGTCCTCATTCATCACAGCATAATTATATCATGCTCAATGAGAATTTGGCTGATGGTGGGCTGGAGGCGCCAAGCTGCAGAGTTTGGTATGGGAAGGATCGGGAAGGGCCACATTATGACTTGATAGCTGCATCGGCCTCTTTGTGAGGGGGTTATTGTTAGAAGGCCCGAACTATATATGAATCTCTGCGAACTATATATAAATGAAATGTCCCCCTGCGGTGTTCCTGTTACTATAAATAGGCCGCCAATTCGGCGCAAGCCCGGATAGGACAAGCTAAGTGAAGTACATTATCGATTCTATGACGCGCCGGGATGCTGCAAGCCACATGCTACAACCGGTGTGTGAAACGGGTCAGAGTCAAAGCTCGAAGACGCGTGAGGGTCGTCAGACGAAAACCGACACCAGGACCGTCAGCGCAAGATGAATCATCGAGCGCTGTGACCAGGGCTCACATGGCATCGACAGCATCCAAAGCTATGTCTTCGACTGCGACGGCTTGCCCAAAGCTGCCAACCCCACCACCACCTCCGCCTCCACCCCGACTCTGAGCGACTCTCAGTTTCCAAGGACAAAACGTGGGGGGTTCGATGGGGCTGGGTTTGGGCGCCGCTCGGTTTGGGGGCCGCTTGCAACTTTCTGGGGTCTCAGGATCCAGGTTGCTCATATATAGTTCGAGGCAATTTATATTTAGCTCCAGCAAATTTATATATAGTTCGAGGCAATTTATATATAGTTCCAGCAAATGTATAAATGGTTCGAACATGTAAAATGAAATTCAAAAAGCCATACGCTGCGGTCAGCCTCTTTGTGTTCCCCACTTCCCTCCGTGGACAGCGCCAAGCCTGCTATATACGAATAAATCAAGGTCGAAGCAAAGTGGCGACAAAATATAGGGCGGAACCGCTCGGAACCGTTCTGCGCTATATATGGATAAATAGTGCGGAACCGCTCGGAACTGTTCTGAACGATATATAACTTCTTCCAGCTGAAAAACCGAAATAGTTCGAAATAGTTCCAAATCGTTCGAGATAGTCCGGGGGGTTATATATGGTGCGGAACCGCTCGGAACCGTTCTGAACTATATATTAATAAGTAGTGCGGAACCGCTCGGAGCCGTTCTGAGCTATATATTGACCATGCAGTATAGCTAGTTGATATGATAACATCATGTCACATCATGTCACATATGTCATCAGTTTATGTCACGTCGTATTTTTCATATGACCATACTTTCGCCGTGCGGGTTGAGGTGCCACAGTCCCTCTCTCTGTCGCTCTCCCACGCTCTCTCTCTCTCTCTCTCACCCTCTTCCGCTCTCATCGCCGCCTTATGGGCCGGCAGGCTGCTGGTAAGGCACAGGGATGTATAAATTACTCCAAGGGTTCTATATATAGTTCCAAGGATTTTATATATAGTTCGAAGCACTGTGTGGGTACCCACAATGAAAGAGGCCCACGCAGGCACCAAATTATGACTATTAATATTAGCACTAGCATTATTAGTATTATTATTATGATTATTCTTATCAGAATTAATATTATATATATATATATATATATTTATTTATTTAATTTTGTTTTAATTTATTATTTTTTTTTCGGGAGGGGGTCTCGTTGGTGCTGGCACGGAAGGTGAGCTCGACGAAGCCGTCATGTCCAAGCTGGAGTTTGCCAAGGCGCACTCCATTGCAGGGTTTAGGGTCTATGGGTCTATGGGTTTAGGGTTTAGGGTTTATTGTTGGCGTTGTCATGTCATGTTGTGCAAGCACCATACCACCTAGTAATTTAGCATCTTTTAATATTGCAGCACTCACGAAAGCAGGCGAGCACATCGTACACAAGTGGTAACCTTCAGCCTCCAATGCGTTGTGTCATGTTTTGTCTCGCGCATTGGTGCCAGGGCTTCTCGAGCAACGGCTAAGAAGCTTCACGTGTCCAAGCGGCACCAGCAGGACTCTTGTTTTTGTGCCTTCAACGGGCGCCCACCAGCGCGACTTCTTCTGTGAGGACCTCTTGGGGGCCGCATCCCCCGGCCCGGCTACTTATACGAAGCTTGGCAAGATAAATTATTCTACCAGGAGATGGCTTAAACATGCTTACAATCCCCCAAATGAACCCCATCAAAGGCCTTTTTAAGGAATTGCAGGGTATAACAGCCCATACTGGTATACTCTACAGCCAGGGCGTAGGGGGGCGAGCACCTCCATTGCCGAGGCCGCTTCGGCAGCGCAAAAGCCGGAGCTGCAGCTTCGGGACACTGCTGCTTGAGAAAACGCATTCCCTAAGGGTCCATGTACCTCATTATTATATACTTGGGCCCCAAAGTCCCTATATAGGAAGTACTTTAAGGCCCAAGTATATAATAATCAGGTACATGGACCCTTAGGGATTTTCAAGAACCCGGATAGGTTTCTGCGCCTTGTAATGCTTGTAATCAACCCTATAATTACGGCCTCTTGCAGGGTCATCAATAGGGCAGAAGAGCCCATCCTGGAAGGAATTGTTGCGCATGATTCTTGTTTGGGGTCCCCCGACCCTGTGCAGGAAAAGCGAGCGCCCGTGTTCAGCACCTGCGTTTTTGCCTCAGCAGGTTCAAGCATGTGTTTTTTCTCCCTTGTGGGCATCCATTGCTTCGCTACTCTTCAGGCGGCAGGCCTTTGTGAGTGATTTGGTGGCGAATGTACCGGCTCCACGACAGGCTCGTTCAAAAATCTTGAGGTTTAACTAGTTGTGTGTGTGATATTTGCGTCCAAGTATTGCCCAACCGTTGCCCAAACGCATTGAACTATACTCACTGGCCACGGATCCGCCATGGCGTCGCAATTTCCAACTGGATGCGTTCCACGCATGATTGTGCGGGAACGCACTTCTACTAGGACCCACTGAGTAGGCACGTTTTCCCTTTATGTGTAAGGTTTAGGTTCCCTTTTCAACCCCTCTACACCACAAAGGGCACCCTTTTGTTCCGGGTGACTTTTGCGCCTGGCTTATCATCTAAGGGTAGTTACACAGGCCCTCAATAAAGTCCCTTACTTCCCTTGAAAGGTTCAGAAATTAATGTGAGCCTGTTGCTTTCAGAAGGGACACAAGGGGTCCCCATTTAAGGTTGGTTGAGCCATTGCTCCGTGGCAGGCCGATTTGCTTCCACGTCCGGGAAGTGCGGTGATTGGACGAGCGTCGAGGACCCTGCTTTGCCATGGTTCTCTTGAACACACACACACACACACACCCACCTACCCACTCACCCACCCACGCACCCTCGCCCCCACACACCCACACCCCCACACCCCCACACACCCACACACCCACACACCCACACACCCACACACCCACACACCCACACACCCACACACCCACACACCCACACACGCACACACCAACAACACACACACACACACACACAACACACACACACACACATGCACACACACACACACATTATATATATATATATATATATATATTTATTTATTTATTTATTTATATATATTCAGAATTACACATATAATTACACACATTCACACGTTCACACGTTCACACATCACATATACAGATAATTACACACACACCACGCGAGCGCGCAGAGTGCAACCTGGCGAAAAGCTTTGGCTTTTTGGTGGTCCATTGGGTGGTTTCGCAACACGTGCTTTCAAGAGCTTTCAGCGGCCATTTTATTGACGCGTAGGAACGCAATTCTGTTACAACCTGATGTGCCCTTTGCTTAGTAATGCTTCTGTTGCGCAGGCCAAGAAGCGATTTAGCACGATTTAGCACGATGCATGTGTCACCGCATCGCTTGCGAGTTGTTTTTGCTTTTCCGAGGCAGACGGCCCTTTGTGCGGAATCGCCAGGTCCAATGCGCGCGACACCAAGACATGGTTAGCGGGACAGGTACTGTATGGCTTGTGTATGGCTTGTTCAATGCGGGCCAGAACAGGATACAATCCGGGTCGCCAAGCAGTGGAGCCAAGTGCGCCAGCTTATTCCATCAGGCCTCCCA